CGGATTAAATACTTAAGTCCAAAAATACAAAATGAGCTCATTGCTGTTCTGGTTCAAAAAGTGAAAAATGCTCTAGTAAATGAAATAGTAACCGCACCATTTTATTCCATTTTATTTGATACTACTCAAGATATTTCCAAAACAGATCAATTACGTGAACTTTACCGTTACTGTGTAATCGAGAAAGATGAAAATGGAACTCCAAAGACTCTCGTAAATAAAGAGTCATTTTTAGGATTTCATGCGGTTAAAGATCCAACTGCCTTAGCAATGTCCAAGCAGATAATGAAATCCATAAATGACAAAAATATTTCTCTCAATAAGTGCCGTGGACAAGGGTGCGACGGAGCTAATACCATGGAAGGCACTTATGGCGGAGTTCAAAAACTCATGAGAGATATAGAGCCAAATGCGGTTTATGTCCATTGTGCTGCTCATAATTTAAATTTGGTAGTAAATGATGCAGTAAAAGAGGTCATAGAAATACAAACATTATTCGAAACTGTGCAACAAATTTATAATTTTTTTGGCCATAGTATTAAACGCTGGAATATATTATCTAGTTTTATATCCGATAATAAAGGAGAGACCGGGGTAACATTAAAAACAATGAATCCAACTAGATGGGCAGGACGCTTTGATGCCATGTTTGCTTTGAAAGTTCGATTTGTTGATGTTCAAAAAGTGCTTACAAAAACTATTTTATTAAATTCCAAAACAGATGAGAGAAATGAAGCTATCTTGCTGAAGAAGAAAATAGAAAATTACAATTTTATTATGTTGTTGGTTTTCCATTGCAAAGTCTTACAAACTATAGATGCGGCTTTTAAAGCACTTCAGTCTAAAGCCATCGATCTTCCAAATGCTTCAAAGCGTTTGCAAGTCTGTCTGGAACAACTTGAACAGTATCGACATGAATTTGAAGACTTAAAAATGGAAGCAAATAGTATTGCAGTAAAATGGTCCATAAACCCTGAATTTTCTAAAACTCGTCAGAGAAAAGTGAAACATCATTTTGATGAAATTTGTGAGGATGAACGTCTCCAAGATCCTGAAAGTTTGTTTAAAGTGAACGTCTTCTATTGTGTATTAGACATAATCATCAATCAACTGAGATCGCGTTTCCTCGGAATGAATGAAATTGTTTCCAATTTCAGTGCCTTGCAACCTGCCACTTTGCAAAATTTGAACGATACTGATTTATTGGAGAAGGCTTTAGCATTTGTCCATTTATATAAAGAAGATATATCCATCTCGTTTTCCAAGGAAATTCTCAGTTTTCGATCCTCTTTTAGTCACGAAATAGAAACATTAGCTTCTATAAGA